CTCTGCACCCCGTCTTTCTCTCCTTAGGCTTTTTATGCCCCCATATGCTTTTGTCCTTTAAGATTTTGTCCCTTTGATTTCTTCTTAAGTGCTCTTGAACTTAAGCTTTCTATTTTCTTAATTTTAACATGGTATTTCAGTCGGTGACAGTTTTATAGTCAAAACCTGATGGTACCTATTTGATAATGTTTTATAAAGCACCACTTGTTACGGAAAAAAGCGGGTCTTCCTGAAATGAGGCTGTATGTAAAATATGGATGGAATTTATGTGTCACTTGGGAACTGATGGAGAAGTATATTTTGGTCTGCTATAAAAGTTCCTTCCTCTGACTGCTTCCATACAACTAAGCAGGGAAAGCACAGAGAATTCTCAATTTGTTTCACTACTGAAAAGTAAACGGAAATTTATGGGGTAATAGTGACATTGAGAAGAAGGAGTTCTTTAAGAGAACTGCATTTTTCGTAGGTAACTGGAAACATTTCCAGCTTTTAAAATGAACAGATGTCTTTTTTTGTCATGATTAGTAAGGTTTTGGAAATGAGTAGGAGCAACTTGCAATATATGTTCTTGACATATTTTTCAAAACATTTTGGATCTACTTGTTAAATATGATGTTTTAAAAGCTGTTGGCACTTGTATTTCTGCTACTCATAAGCCTACATTCAGCATTTCTGTACCTTGCAACAGTTTTGTAGAAGTGAGTGGGCTCTGAAATTAGTGTTCCTGAATGTGCTTTACCTACATGTGTATTGTTCACTTACGTAATTTTCCTCCTTGAGGTTACCTCTCTCTCTCTTTTTGGTTGTAACTGGATTTACTGGAGATAAGAATCAACACTGTCATTTTTCCCCCCAGGAATGATAAATGTAATTGCAGTAATAAGAAATCCTTTCCAGCTGAAGGAGCAAACCACGAAGACTGTGGTTTAGGTCTTTGTAAATGTATTTTTTTCCCCTTTTAAATCTAAACCAAACATCCAGATTTGGTGGTGCTTCGCAGGTGTCCATTTTCAGTGTTTCCTTGACTTTGTGGTCTCCCGGTTCTCACGCATAAATCAGTCCAGTCCTGGGGGAGTGGGGTGGGGTGGGGACTGCACTTTCTAATTTATTTTTACTTTTCATTTTGAGTTTTTAAACCTTAAAAGCATCATTCAGTCTTCTCACCAGGAGAATGTGTTTATTTCCAGTTTAGCATTTAGAAGTAGCTTGACTTAGACGAGATAGAGTCAATGATCGTAAAAATAGAGGGGAAGAAAGAATACCAGACAGAGAGAAAGATCAGGGGGTGTGACCACAAAGATGGCACAGTTTGCTAAACTCAACATTGTCGATTGTTACCCAGGAAGGCCTTTGGAAGGGCCACACATGGGATCAAAGGCAGACTGTCACATGTGGCTGACAGCCAAGAACAGCTCCACCAGAAGCTGAGGAGAACTTTGTTCATTTGTTTTTTCATCTTGGCCAACTTTGACTGAACTCCTCCCTGGGCTAAGGAATTATATTACAGATGTAACAATAAGTGTCAGGGGTCTGGGTAGGATCTTGTCATATTTTGTTATCATGAGCAGCTTCTCCTAATGTTGGATCTCCCCAGGCAGAAAGGACTGTTGGACACTTTGTGTAGATGTGGTTTGTCTCAGCGTTAGCAGGGAGCCTGTGACTCTCACTGGGTCTTGATTTATTTATCAGGAAAACGAGGAGTTGGCCATTAAACAATCTCAGTAGTGGTTTCTAGCTCAGACCCTTGAGATGTTGTGTGGTTTGCTGGGGCTCAAGATACTGGAAGAGGCTCATGATTATAAGCTTAGACCTTTCTTTACTAACCCAAGTTGCTTGAGTTGTAAATGTTCTAACGACAGCATCTTAAGAACGCTGCTTGCTGAAAGTGAAGCTTTGTTAACTCCATCAGCCCTGATTCTAGAGAAGAGTGAAGGGATGGCCGTTGGCGCCATCTTGGTCCTTGACTCTGTTTAGTCGATGGAATGGCAGTTTTTTGAGAGGAAACACAATCCTCAGACACACCCAGTGCCTTCACAGAGGCCTGAAATATTGCACTGCCTGTAGAATGTGCAGATTGTAATGCTGATTGAGTGAAAAAATACTGAGGTTTGACAAGTGATTTTTGGCATTGATGAATTAAGGCAGATTAGACAGCCTTTCAGGACACTTCTGATACATTCCGTATGTACAAGACATTTTAGAAGAAGAATGGGAAGAAAATAAGGGTGTTGGAACGTATTGAGGGTGCCTGAGAGGAAGTATTTGACTCAAGCTAAATATTACGTCATCCCTGATTTATGAATGGGTCTCTTAGTAAGTGCTTTCTGTGACAGTTCTGATAAGTTAGGAATTAGAGACAAATTTTAGAGGAGCACGTTGTTATTTTTGTTGTTTGATAGCAGACTTTTGGAGGTGAATTTCATTATATGCCACTGGTTTTGTGGGTGAAAAGTTGAAACAAATCTACCTTATCATTAACATCTGTGATAATGTAGACTTGAAATTATAATCTTAGCGTAAGTGAGAGAGCTGTGAGAAACAGTAAAAATACATGTCACTTACGTTATTTTGCATAGTATATGAAATTAATAATTTCTCTCCTTCCCCTTCTCAACTGCTGAAATTAATCTTAGCATTTCCATTTCATTTTTAGTAACACAGATTAGTTAAGGAATGGAGGGGCTATGATTACTAGCACTATGGGGATATTTAAATATAATTTAATATCAGGAAATTAAAGGAATGTGCAAGCTTGAGGTTGTATTTCTCCCTTATGGGTAAGTCCAGTCATATATCTGTGCTAGAATTGTAAGTGCTGAGTTATTTGATCATTCCTGGCTGACTTATCTTGGAGTAATTTACATTTACAACATGCTGTGCACAAAAGCGTGAAAACCAGAACCATACAGTTTTGCTACCATCTGAAGTCATAAAATGTTTTTTATTTACATAGTAAATCTGGGAGAGATTATAGTAGACAACTTCTACAAATCCAAGATACTGAAAGTGGTAGCAAGTTTCAGAGATAAATAAGTTACTTATTAGTCTGATTAAATGTCTCTGCCAGTTACATGATAAATAATACATAACTTTCCTTGTTTGTTCTTTTAAGTTTCCTTAGAGATATATTTACTTCCTTTTCACATGTTTAAGGTCTTAGCAGCATTTCTCCCACCCCTTGCAGCTTTTTATTATAAAAAATTTCAAGCATAGAGAAATCGAAATGATAGTACATTAAGCATCCATGTGTGTATCTACTGCTTCGATTCCTTAATTGTTAACATTGTGTGTCTGTGTGTCTGTGTGTGTAAGGATATGTACCTATATGTGTATTTTTTGCTGAACAATTCAAGGTAAATTGGGGTAAGCCAACATCACGACACCCCCTACTTTCTCGAACATCTATTTCCTAAAAATAAGCACATTCTCCTACGTAACCACAGTAGCATTTCAAAATATGAAAATTAACAGTAATTTTCTCATGAAACCTGATAGCCAGTCTGTATTCACATCTCCTCAATTATCTCCAAAATGTTCTCTATGCTTGTTTATTTTTCCCTGAGTTAAGATCTAGTCGATGTTCACACACTGCAATGGTAAGACCCTAATGGCTCTTTTATTCTAGGATCTAAAACAGCTAGCTTCCTTACATTTTTTTTTTTTTTTTTGCTTTGACATTGACTTTTTAAAGAGACCAGGCTGCTTGCCTTGGAGAATGTTCCACATTTAGGTTGTGTCTGATGTTTCTTTCCCTTGGGGCCATTCAGTTTTCTCTCGCCCCTGTATTTCCTATAAACTGGAAGTTAGCAAAAAGTTAGAGATTATTATTTCTTTGACTCTTTCTAAGGGGTGGGAGAGGCGATTAAGAAAAAATGAACGTTTTCTTTACAGAGCAAGTTTCCTAAAACCCAGGCCTCTGTGATATTGAGTAACATGGAGAAGAATAATGACTTTATTGGAAGGTAAGCTTCTGATTAGGGTCTCTTCCTTATTTCAGAAGACCTGAAGGACCAGTGGGCTGTGCCTCTCCCGTCCCTTTGGGCTTCTGTGGCACCGTGAGTGTGTGTCACCCACAGAGTCCTGTCCCACGATGTGTGCCTGTCCTCTTCTTTCTGACTTGCCCACCAACCCGTGAGACCGGACAGCAGGGATGGTGTGGCTTTTTCTGGAATTTCTTGAAGCCCAACACATTCAAGGTCCAACAGGCTAATTTATTTCCATTTAAAACCTTCTTCCTAAATTGAATTGAAAGGAGTTTTCTGGATCCCAGACTTCATGGTCTCTGCGTGGTCAGTGGATGTTTTCTCAGATGCTGGATGGACTCACCCTCTTGCTTGTCCTTAGTTTAGCTACCTTCAGTCACCTCTAGGCTTCAGGTACTCCCAAGCGAACTGAGAAGCGAGGTGTGTCTTTCAGTGGACACACTGGAGTTTTCAGGAGTTGATGTATGTCTTCTCTGAGCTTAATTTCCCATTGCGTGTGGCTGGACCCATGCAATCACGTGGACTCTCTTTCATTTTCCCAGGTTAGACCAAGTTCCTTCCTGCCCCGCCA